ACAGCCTCTCCTGCTTAAGGGCATCACCCATTTTGACGAGGTCCTCAGTTTGCTGAACAATTTTCTCGGACAGGGCATTCATCGTCGTTTGATGGCGAGCCTTCTCTATGGCCAGCATGTCGGTGTTCACATCCTACAGCTTAAGGAGATCCGCTCATGTCGAATCGAGCTCGCGTCTCTGCCTTTGACGCCAGTCCTGGAAGGCAAAGAGCCTAAGAAGAAGCAGCGGACGAACAGGAAAAATTAGTAAAGGAAAGCTAAATAAGAAAATTTTGGCAAAGTGATTGGCCTAAGAACCAGAAGCCTACCTCAACGCAACTGTTGATCATTGGACCGAGGTGCCCATTATGGATACCCTAGAAGGTTTAGTTCCCAAAAACTCAACATGTGGAGTTGAGTCTTGGCCAGCAGTGTTGTCCGGGGTCGGCACCTCCCCTCCGTCCTTCCGGACGGGCTCATTTCAGGCCACCTCGGACGAAGGTGGCTCCGAGGGCTTGGAGCCCCCACAAAGTACCAGCAGGGGTTGTTCTCCTTTAGGTTGCACCGACGCAACCCGCGACCTTGCCCTTGTCGCCGATATTTTAGACGCCGAAGCCTTAAGAGCCTTGGACTACTCATCATCCTTCAAAGTAGGCCCCGATTACTTCCTCGCAGGTTTAAGGGTAGCTGACTGAAAAGACAAGAAAGGGTCCAGTTAGAAACCTCCGTTCAAATAGCACTTAGGGAAAGAAGCATGAACATAAAGCTATTCAGCCAAATTATTTTAAGAACCTGTCCGAGTAGAATTGCAGTAAATAACATACAATTCAAGTTCACTCGACCAGGGTTGAAGTGTCAGCTTATATATTAGTTGTTTGAGTAGGATTGTAGCAAGAGACCTACAATCTAAATTCACTCGGTCAGAATTGAAATACATGCAGCGATTGACTCAAATTAAAAGCATTTTCCATTGAAGCATAGCAAGTCAGACGCAACAAAAAAAAAGGATAAAGACAAAAGTTTAAGGCAAAGAGAACGACCATACCCCCTTTTCCGCCTCATATTGAGCTCGCATGAGCTTGTAGCGCTCGATGTTGAACTCATTCATGTCCATCTCACCCTTCTAAGCTGGATCAAGTTGAGACATGGCTTGCTCTGTTACAAACAAAAGAAAAAGAGTTAGAAGAATTTTCTAAGTAAGAGCATAACTAATGATGCATGATGCAAAATTCAACCTTGAGGGTAGTTTCAGATCAGGCCGAATGAGTACATGAACAAGGGATCCCTTAACCAATTCACCAAGGGGATCCACCTGGGAATAACAGGTACCTAGTGCCCCTCTCTAAATTCTCGCTTGACCCTGAAATAGTGAAGCTAATCGGCATGGTTCGGGTGAATTGGGGGGGCGAGTCGGCCGCTAATCCCCTCGTCCCAAGCTGAATGGGAGAGGATTTGAAATTGTTTATCATTTTATTGAACTCCTTGTCTCCCATCTTTATGAGTTAGAACCTCTTCTTCCAGTCACGCCACTTGGACGGCTTGTGCATGCACACCATGAACTCTGTCTGGGTGCTCAAAACAAACCACCCGCCCGAGATGGCATCCAGCTTCACCATATTGTGTATGCACAGAAGACTGGGAAGTTAGGGTGAAGCCCATCCTTTAGACAGGTCACCAAGTATCCAAAAATGTTGGCCCAACTGTTTGGCGCAAGCTGGACCATGGCAATTCGATATTCGTCCAGCAGCTACTGGACGAATGAGTAAAGAAGGAAGCGGAGACCAACCTCATGGGTCGCCCTATATACATTAAAGCCTCGGCGGATGATCCTAGGGTCGTCCAAGGCAACAACAGACCCAGAGGTTCGAGGAGGACTTATCTGAAAGCCCTTCCTCAGCATGAGGAATTCCGTACATTCCTCAAACCGTTCGTTGAGGTACCCTAGGGCTACATCTCTAATCATAAAGTCGTAGGGGCTGTTAAAGTCATTTTCTTCTTTCTCTGACTCGGCGGCAGCATTTTCAGCCTGTTGTTCGGCCGGCTGTGGTTCAGGGGCCCTCGTTGAACCAAAGTCTTGAGACAAGACCCTTTCCAGCTCGTCCGCTAATGAGTGTCATTTATGACACTCTTCGGCTAGGTTTTCTCTATAGTTTTATTCTCGTTTTTAGTCTTTTGTGTCGTGTTTTTAGGGAATAATTCTTGATTTGCGCGTTTGTGTGTTAGTTTAGAGAAATGCGTGCTTTTAATGGTTTTCTTTTTATTTTATTCATTTCTCGGCTATTTCTCTCAATTATTTGTTTCTTTGACTTGTTTTGTAGGTGGGTCGAGTTTCCCGGGATTTAATTATCAAGGAGAAATCTCGAGCGCATTCAAGGAGATTGATGGAGCAAAGTTCGGGAATCCAAACATGCAATTCAAGCTAGCTCCGCAAGCACAAGGACCTTGGAGGCAACGCTTTAGCTTGGAATGTTCAAGTGCTTGGAAGATAAAGGAGTTGCCCTTCTCATGAGCATCACCTCGATTGCACCAATGATAGGGATGCTCGGGAGCGCGGAGTTTGATAGAGCAAGAGAAGGAGCCAAGGCGACGTGCACCAAACAAAGGTGCGCGCGTGGCACAGGGGGTGTTGCGCGTATACCCAGCTGTGCGCGCGCGGCTTTGGTGGTGCGCACGCACAACCCTGTTCTTTTTTTAGGACGACTTAATTTTTGTACTTGAGAAATAATTTTCCAAAAATAGTAGAGAGAGAACCTTAAGATTTACTTGATTTGTACTTGAATTTGATTTTAGATTTCAATTGGATCTTGGAATTCCTTCTTCAATTCAATGAAAATTTGTAAGAATTCTTCTGTTTGATATACTTTCATTGCAATTCCTTCTGGTTTCTTGAATTTTGATTTGGATTACATTCTTTGCTCTAGAATTTGTTGATTGATTGATTTTCTTTTTTATTAATTTTGAAATGAATATGATTGTGATAGAATTTGTTTTGCTTCTCAATTTCACCATGACTAGTGAGTAGATTAATTGCTAAGGAGAAGGGGAAGCATGCTTGATTGATGATTTTTGCTAGTTGATGATCCTAAATTGATTGAATTGTTGCAATTAAACATAGTTGACATAGTTGCATGTGCATGTGATTATTAGACTATGAGTGATCAACCTATAAGATTAATCTAGATTGCATTGCAAATTTCAATCACATGAACCCTTGATTTGAGAATTGCTTTAATTGATTAAATTTGATTGTGATTTTTCCTTGTTAGCCATTCATAGTGAATCCTAGCTTGGCTTATAGGAGATATCTTTTGGAATCCTTTGATTGCAACTATTGTCTGTTCTTTGTGATGTTTGAATCTATTGAGTGATATATCAATTAGCATAATCATTGAGGTTGCATATGGAACCTATATCTTTAGTGTTTAGCATATTGAATTTCTCAAGTTGTCTAGTTTCTTGATACTTTAGTTACCACCATAACCATCTACATTTTTCAAACTAGCTTGGCATACTATAAATTGACCCTTCTGCCACAAAATTATGTGTGGCACAAGTTTAAAATTCCCGTGGCAATGATATTTAGCCACGGGAATTGTATCGAACAACTCCCGTGGCACAAGTGGCCGTGGCTAGGTTATGGCCACGGGAAAAACAATGTTGTGGCAAAACCATCTTTTTTGCCACGTTTTTTTACGTGGCTAATATTAGTAATTTAATTTGCTACAAGTACAAATGTGGCAATTTGGATATACCCGTGGCTAAGGATCTCAGTGCCTCAACCATTAATGTGGCAAAGCTTTATCATTTAGAGTAATCCGTGTTGTATATATAGTAATTTTTATTTGTCATGTAGAGTAATTCATGCTTCTTACGTCAAAATAAATAAATCAATACAATTAAAAATATAAAATTTCATTAATAAATAAAGTAGTGTCAACATGAGTACTTTCTTACAAATAAATGTATGCGAAGTAAACTATGTAAAAAGAAGAGCTAAATTCAATCCTCCTTGGGCACATTATAAAAAAAAAAAAATAAAAAAAAAAAAGAAAAAAAAAAAAAAAAAAAAAACTTCGTGTTCATCTCTAGCTTCATGATCAGTAGTAAGATTCAATAGGGTTCATAATTTCTTTCTACCTACAACAATAACAAAAAAAAAGGTATTAATAGATAAGCATTAACAAACATAAATCATGTGCAGTATCATTAACATATTTTTAGAGCACAACAAACCACATCTTTGTCCGTAACTAGAGATGTAATAATACTCCATATATATATACACACACTAGGCATTACTATAAATTGTGTGTTCTAAATAATAAATAAATAAAGTGTTATATACACTAGACATATAATTGTACAGTAAAGCAAAATTGTGATAGAAGAAACGGTGTACTACAGAATTATTCATTACCTCCTATCAAAATTCTTTCTATTAACTAAGAAACACTAATAAAAATTTTTAAGAGAGAAAAATACGAAAACAGAAATTTAATGCCAAAAAAAAAAAGAAGTGATCAAGATAAACTAGAATATAAAACAATAAATCACTAAAGTTGGTCTATATGATTATTATTTGTCTACTTAAGAAGATTTTTCATCAGGTACTAGTCTAATTCCTAAATAGTATGACGACAAAAACTAATTTGAAGTAATTATCAAGTTATCTAAATGGAATCCTGTTATAATTGGTCTTGTATGGACCCGGTCTACAATAAATTATTGTAGATTAAAAATTTGACACTTTCAAATAATATAATCACATTCTGATGATATAATTACTTTTTTATGATATAATTATCTTTTTGTGAGTCATATTTTGATCTCATATTAAACCATTTAATGAGATTATATAATTATCTTTAGGATGATAAAATTTAAAAATCATCTTTTGAATGATGTAATTTACTATTTGATACTTTTTATATTGATAAATTTAGTTTTTGAACGATATATTTATATAACAGTTTCAAGATGATATAATCACTTTTGTAATAATATAATCACATTTTCGTATGATATAATCACATTCGTATGGTATATTAGAAGGTTGGACCGGGTCTATTCTAGTTTTTATAATCATGTTAATCATTTAATAAATATTATGATATTTCTCCCATAATTTGTTATTAGCAGAAAGTTTTTGATCCACCTCATTCCTTGTTGCTTCGACTTCCTTTTTGGCAACCTCCGCATCCATTCTTGCCTTTTCTACTTCTTTTCTAGCATCTTCAGCTTCCTTTCGAGCTTCTTGGACTGCTTGCTCAGATGTTTTTCTTACCTCAATTACCTCGTGAGCAAGATTTATTTTTGATGGCTTAACACCAAAATGATTTGTAATACTTCTACCTCGCTCATATGCACGCAAATATCCATGAGTATCTTTACCAAGTACTTTCTCAATAATTTATTCATCAGTGTGGTTATTATGCCCTTGGTCTCTTTCTTCTGTTAACTTTTTCATCTCAGACTAAAAATAAGTACAAAATAATTAGAGCAAGAAAGTTATGAATTTCTTTATTAGATGATAACAAATGAGCTTCACTACTTACCACTACATTCATGTTATTAGCCAAGGTACCCAAATTAACAGATTTATTTGACTTCCTCTTATGAGACTCAATTAGAAGGTCAACTCGTGAGCAATCCTTCCCATGTTTCTTTTTCTACAATCATAAAAATAACCGCAATAAGTTCAATGTAACACCATAAAATTAAAAATAAATAAATAAAAAGAGCAACAACAACAATAATTACTTACAAATTCATCTTTGAAGCGACCATAACTTTTTAATCCCATTATAATGAGGCATCTTTTGATGAGATCGACTTTCGGAAGCTTTGACACTCTTAGCCTTTGGTAAAATAATTTAGATACATCATATACCAAATCATAATCCATATATGAGAGTAACATTCCATACCTGAACCTTTTCATCACTCCAATGCTCAACTAAAAATTCCCAATCCGCTTTAATCATTTTCTCAGGCTTGTTCTTCAAGCGATCAATTTTTGTTTTCAAATTTTGATCATTAAAATATTTTTTCTTCAACTTGTGCCTGCTATCTCTGAATAATCTTCTAGCATGTTGAATAACACTGTCTTTTCTCAACTCAGGGTCACCAAACGAGCATTTTTCCTAGACATTCAGAATGTCAAAATAATAATAACCAATAAATATATCATTATGATAAATATAGAAGGGGGGGACCTACATCATGAGATTATCTTACCTGAATACAACTCCAAAGATGTTCAATTTTTTCAGGCTTAATATCAGTCGAATCTTTCACCTGTACAGGAATGACAGCACGATTTCTAACTTGTACACCAAAGAACGAAGTATATATCGAGGCATTATCACCAATAGGAACACCATCCCCATCAAACTGAACATATATTTTTTTCTCCAGGAGGTAACAAGGTAAGACTTTTACAATAAACAGGCCCTCGTTTTCTCTTAAAAACACCTAACATTAAAGAATCATGAAAAGTCAATGTTAACAAGGTTGAATTTGATAGAAAGAAATAGACGTTGAAAACATTCAAGTCACCTTCCATCTCAGCACGTCTTTTATCTCCAACTAATTCCTCACACCTTTCCCGAGGAAACAATACAGGTTCTCTGGTACGACGATCCTTTCTTACTCGACGAATTTTATCATTGTATATGACCATATCCGCTTCATTTTCATAATCTTAAGAAAATCATAAGAAAAAATTACATATTCATTTAGACATCACAATATACATGTCTTCTAGAGAGAATATTTAATACCTTGGTGTACAGCTTCATCATCAAATGAATTATTATCCTCATCATCAACAAAATTCCCATCTGATAAAAAATTGTTTCACACTAAAAAAAATCAGCACTACTTAATACCAAAAGTAGTTATTAATAATAAAAAAAACACACTTCCATACCTTCACTCATTTCAACTTCATTATTGCCATTCAACTCATCTGCATTTCTCTCAATCCCTTGTATATCTAGTTTGTAATCATAAAAAAATTAAATAAATAAAGAATTAAGTTTGTTTTTCTCAATTACCATAATGTGAAAAAAAGGCTTCTACCTTCATCTAAACCAATGATTTCATGATTCACATTCAATCGGTCCTGATTACTGATGACTGCATTGAATAACATACCAACTTTGATATAAATTAAATACTAAGCCATAAGATTATTCAAGCAATTCATATAATCTAGTACCTTGTTCAACAACTTTCATGGCTTTTGAAAGTGATTTGAATTTTTCATCTCCTACCATTGCTTATTGTTCTTTTTTATTCATATTCAACTTAGCCACAGACATTGGTGGAATAAATTTCCCTTTTCTTGACATTCCTTTTGTTATGCAATGCTTACCTTGAAACATGAGTTAAAGAAGATAATAAACTATTGACTATGTTAGTATAAAATTGGTAACTATTAGTAACTAATATAGTACCTTTACTGGTATTGCAAAGTGATCCTCTTTTTCATATTCATCCTCTTCTATATTCATGTTTTCTTCTTCATTGCTAGAGCAAGGAATATAATCTTGATCTTCCTTGTTCACAGACTTACCCTTCCTTGGTTTTTTCTTTTTTTTTTTTTATGTCTACTAAACTTGTCATGGAAGAAACAATTCTCTTTATACCCAAGGATTGCATTCTACACTTGTTAGCCTGAATCCTTAATAGCCTCTGCTGTTCATATTCATTTTCTTGATTTGTTTTTTTTTGAAGTATTCCTACTAACTTTTTCCATCATAATACCTGCTCTCAAAAAATGTTATCTATAAATAGATTCACTGACAATAACATAAATATTACCGTATAACAAAGTATATAAATAAAAAAAAAAAAAACACAATACAATACGATAGAGTGCAAAATTTCCAAAACAAGAATAAAAAAGTATCAGAAACTCAGAATGCATAAAATAGTTGGTGAAAACATATTACAAATAATAGCTAAGAAAAATTATAATACTAAGTTATAAAAATAAAAATTAAGCTATATCCTCATCCTCATCCTCATCCTCATCTATATTTTCAGCATCATCTTCGCTTTCCTCATCGCTATCGGTGTAACTAGCCTGATCAAAATCATCATCTTCACCGTCATTGACAAAAACCTTGGGTTGATTTTGGTCATTTTCATCTATTATTATGTCATTCACGTCATCACTTCTATCAAATGTATAAGGAATGTCCTCTAACTCTTGAGTCGAATTGTAAACATTATGTAACGATGTAGAGTCCCTTTGTTGTAACGCCTCCTCATCCACCTCATTGTTTTCATTTTCTGGGACATCATATTGATGACGTAGATCAGTTTTAACAATAACCATCCAATGTGGATCTAAACCATCTCTGACATAAAAAAACCCGTTGATCTTGAGACATAAGCACAAATGGCTCATTTGTACGCAACATGTACTTTGTGTTGACACTAACCAAACCTCCTTTGTCAATCTTAACACCTTTACCAATCTTATGAACATCCCACCAATCACAACAAAACAATATCACACGCTTTCCATCTAAATATTGCAATGAAATTATTTCATTCAAAACTCCAAAGTAATCAACATCCTTAGAATCTACAAGTCCTTTAACCATCACTCCAGAGTTTTGAGTTTTTCTTTTTTTCTCAATGTCTTGAGTATGAAATCTGAAACCATTAGCCAAATATCCACCGAAACATTGGACACCTCTCAAAGGCCCTTAAGCCAAAGTTCTTAAATCTTTAGCTACTTGATCTTCATTTTCTTCTGGCAATGTTGTGATCTAGTTTAAGAATTATGGGTTAGTGACCTAGAAAAAAAAAAGGAATGGATTAGTAAGAAAAATATTAGAGAAAAAATATCATTGAATTACTAATGTACCCGATCTTGAAACCATTCCATAAAAGTTTTGTCAAACTTCCCTCTATGAATTCACTGTTTAAGAAAAAAAACTAATAAGTAAAAAATTTATATAGTAGAAAATGTATAGCACAAAAAATAATTTCAGGAGGATTATAAAAATTCATACTTTAGGAATGGTTCAAATTCATCACAATTTTTGAGCACCTATTCTTGAGCTTGTATCAACTTTTCATTGGTAAGAGATCTAGATTTTTGCTTTCCTAAGGGAATACCATGTGATGCAAATATTGATAATCCCTTATATTCTTCATTTTCATTAACAACATTCCTCTCTAATTGGTTATGTTTGTCTCTATATCATTTAGATACCTTGAACAAAAGAACATACACTCCTCTATAATATATCCTTCAGCAATAGAGCCCTCTGGTCTGTTTTTATTTCGCACATATGACTTAAATTTTCCCAAAAGTCTGTTACATAAAGAATAAATTGTAAGCAAGTTTTTAAATTAGCAAATATTTTTATTTATAACTTTTTGAGAAATACCTTTCAATAGGGTACATCCATCGATAATGAACCGGTTCGGCTATCCTAGCTTCTTCAACAAGATGCACACACAAGTGCACCATCACATCAAAAAATGATGGAAAAAAGATCTTTTCCATTTCACACAAGATGGTAGCAATATGATCCTCAAGATCTTTCAAGTCCTCTAGCTTTAAAGACTTAGAGCACAAATTTTTAAAAAATGCACTCAGATTTGCTATTACCTCAAACACTTTAGGAGATGATGCTCCACAAATTGCCAAGGGTAGCAACTGTTCCAAAAGGACATGACAATCATGTGTTTTCAGTCCCCATATCTTACGCTTCTCAGGGTTTCCAAAGTGAGCCAATTTTGGCAAATATTAACCAAAATGGTTGCGTGGCAAAAGTATTTACCAAACTAAGCTTCCAGGCTAAAACGTTGTCTCGGTCAGCGTTTTATGCCTGGGTTTTTTTAAAAAAAAAATCAACCTAAAAACGCTGTCTGGGACAGCGTCTTTGTTGTTCACCTTTTTTTAAAAAAAATTTGTAATTGCCTTTTATTTATAAAAATGTTTTTAAAAAACAAAAACAGTTATACCAAAGACGCTGTCCCAGACAGCGTTTAACTCTGGAACTATAAACGCTGTCTCAGACAGCGTTTAAGGTTATTAATGAAACGCTGTCTGAGACAGCGTTTCTGTCGTTTTTTTTTTCCTGCGACAGCGTATTTCATCCTTTCATTTCCTCCTCCTTCATTCTCAAACCCCTTCTTTCCCAAACTCTAACTTAATCCCCCTCTCTCTCATACTTGTGTTCCTCCGTATAGACCGCCGCCGGCGCCGGCGCCGCCACCTCCACCGTCGCCCGCCGTCACCTCCACCGTCGCCCTCCGTGTAGCCCACTATACACTCCCCTCACCCTGAAATATGTATTCATTCAACTTTCTTTGTGTTTTAAATTCTAGGGTTTATGTTGGTGAGTTCTAATTTTTTTGGAATTGGGTTAAAATGTTGATGAGGTTGAGTTGTTAGTGTTAAAAATGTTGAATTGTTAGTGTTGGTATTGTTGAATTATTAGTGTTGGTAATTGTTGAATTGTTAGTGTTGATAATGGTAGTGTTGATATTGTTAGTGTTGATAATAGTTTGCATAATGTTGAATTGTTGTTGTTGGTTTTGTTGAAAATTGTTGACAATGGTTGATAATTATTAGGTTTTGAACAATTGTAATTACCTACATTGTTGTGTAATAATGGTGATTTAGGGGTTCTTAGTAATAATTTGTATAGTATCTAAAAAAATTTTGTTTGATTGTGGTGATTTAGGGATGATTTAACGGCTTTACGTAAAATGTGTTTTGGTTGTTATGTAGAATATGGCTAGACAAAATGTAGCGTTGTTATGTCGATGGGGAGGTGAAATTTTGTGTAATGGATCAAATGTGGAGTACAGTGGAGGGAATATGGACCTTATAACACTTGAACCGAACATGACTGTGACTGATCTGATGAATGAGGTTCACAGTTGTATTGGTTCAAACCCTATGACTGTTGAACTGAACCTTAAAATGAGGTGTGATACTGGTCATGGGGTGCAAGTGTTACCTGTCTCTACGAACAGACATATAGCTTCACCAGTACATGCGGGGGACGCGTGACAGTGTTCGACCAGCCTGCTCCGTCGTCATCGAACACCGTGGCATCTTCGCCGATGTAATTGCATAGCTACTCTCCTATGCAAGGTGATGATGGTTCACCGTTTCGAGAAGAGCCAAATCATTTTGATGATGTTGTGAATAATGAATTGTCGGTGTATGATGTGTATGCGGAAATGGATGATAAGGACGAGAACGGAGAGGGGGATGATGAACCTACACAGGTGGAAGATGGTCAGCCGTTGGTTAGATTTCCCATACCTTGGTTCAGTGAGGTACCCGAGAACTATGAAGTTGATCAGTATTGGGCCGAATCGGGTAGCCACACCTCTTTTGTTCCCGGGGGAGAATTTGAGAAGGGAATGTATTTTGAGAGCAAGAAACTGCTTCAAGAAATGGTGAAGATGTATTCTATTCAGAGGAATCAATTCTACACCACAGTGACCTCGAATGATGGTGTCCTACATCTGCGATGCAAGAAGAAATGTGGTTGGATGCTATGGGGTACCAAATCGAGTGAGCACTCACGTGGTTTTACCATAGTCACGTACAAAGGCCCGCATCGGGAGACATGTGTCAGTGAAGTACTATCTAATGATCACCCACACTTGGATTCGTCCGTAATAGCCGAGTATGTGAAGTCCTTTGTGCGGAAAGATCCTTCGTTGAAAGTGGAATTCATACAGGAACTGATCTCGAAGCAATTTCATTTCGATGTCCCGTATCGACGAGCGTGGTATGCCAAGGAGAAAGCTATAGCTGAGATATTTGGGGATTGGGAGAGTTCATATGGCAGACTTCCCCACTTCATGCAAGCACTCCTACGGTCGAACCCGGGAACATGTGTCGTATGGAAACACAAAGCTTTAGTGGATGGTGTATACTACAGCAACATGGAAGTGTTTGAACGAGTGTTTTGGGCCTTCGGTCCTTGTATCGATGGCTTTAAACATTGTATGCCTGTTATCTGTATCGATGGGACGCACTTGTACGGGAAGTATAAAGGAACATTGTTGGTTGCTACGAGTGTTGATGCAAGCTTCCAAGTATTTCCTATTGCATTTGCGGTGGTTGAAGGGGAAAACACTTCCAGCTGGTCTTGGTTCCTAGGTTGTATTCGAGATCGTGTCACGCAACGGGATGGCCTTTGTGTTATTTCTGATCGGCATCCTGGGATCATTGCAGCAATGAATGATCCCAATGTTGGATTCACCCAGCCCCGAGCGTATCACAGGTTTTGTGTCCGCCACATAGCCTCTAACTTGAAGACTCACGTGCGAAGTAACGACATGAGAGACATGTTCAAGGCCGTTGCGTACCAAAGGCAAGAAAGAAAACTTCAAGCTGATCTGTGTTTCATTGGTGAGGCTTGTCCCAAGGCCATTGAGTACATTGCTCAAGTCCCGTTCCCTATGTGGTCTATGTTTCACGACAGTGGTCGCAGGTATGGTATATGTACTACTAACTTCTCGGAGACATTCAACAATGTGCTGAAAGGAGCTCGGTTTCTACCGATTATGTCCCTTGTCGAGTTAACCTTCCACAGAGTTAACAAGTATTTCACTTTGAGAAGGGAGTGGTCTGATAAGGGACTTCCATACCCCCCAAAGGTCACTGCCATCCTCGAGAAGAACACCGCTAAAGCCAGATATCATAGAGTGGATGCCTATAACCGGCGATTGCATATTTACCAAGTGACAACAGAGAGGGGAGAGAGAGTTGGTAATAAAGGAGGCCACAAGCATACGGTGAACTGGCAGTTGAGAACGTGTACGTGCAACAAACCGAAGATATTCCACCTCCCATGTTCTCATGTGCTAGCAGTTTGTGCTACATACTCACTATCAGAACGGCCTTGGGTGGACCCTCTGTTGCAGTCGGCCGCCTACATGAACACCTATGCACCACAGTTCTGGCCGATCCCCTGCGAGACAACCTGGGCACAGTGGGCACAGTACGTAGGCCCTAAACTCATTCCGGACGGCACAATGATAAATGGAAAAGGTCGTCCAAAGTCGAAGCGCAACGCAATGAGATGGATGACAGCAACCGGCCCCCAACCAAATGCAGCCGTTGTCACCAGCAAGGTCACAACCGCAGTACTTGTCCAACTAGACCAACATAGGACCTAAGTGTATATGTGTTATTTGATATAGTAGTATGTAGTGGTGTTATTTTGATGAAACAGTCATAATTTTCTACATTATGTGTTATTGTGTTCAATTCGATGAATTTTATTTTATACGTTGGATGTTCGAGATTTCCTGTTTATGCCTTTCGATCGAAATTAGTATTCAATATATTGTGTTAGTGTTTGGTGTGTAACGTTTTCAATGAACAGATATCATGGACGTACAGGATTGGACACCCGTTGACCCTTCTGTCCTGACACTACAGGACACCCATTGGAGCGTCGACGTATGGAACCTAACGGTAATGATTCATCTTTAACGTTTTTGGATTCTTTGATGTACTATCTTTTGTTACTTATAAATGCTCCTGTGTTTTCAGGGTGATGTAGCGAAGCCACTACAGTGCAGGCACTACAGGACCCCTGGGTTATCCATGATCGCTGCCTTGAGTACGTGACGTACGCTGGCTTTGGCGGTGTACATCGCTTGGGATTCAGGGAGATCGACCGACACCTTGTCACGGCGTTAGTGGAGAGATGGAGGCAGGAGACGCACTCCTTCCACCTACCAGTTGGGGAGGCGACTGTGACATTGCGGGACGTGGCAATACTTACGCGCCTTCCAGTACAGGGGACTGCGGTGACGGGATCATTTCTAGTCGATCCCGTTGGATTGGTTGTGTGGGTTCTCGGGGTGCAG